TTATAAGGGATCTTCCCTGTAAAATTTGATCATTGTTACTCGGCCACGGCCATTCTTCTCGAAAGAAATTATCGACATTATTACATGGCGTTGTGTACGATAAATTGCATATGCCATATACATAAGGAGTTCATTATATATTATTGTTCTATTAATTTTAAAGAAATATAGTTATATACAGTGGTCGCCGCTTATTGGACTCACGGTTAATTGACTTATTCGCCTATTAGACTCAAAACGGCTGGTCCCGATTCGCACATATACTAACACACACCAAAAAATTCGTCTATTCGACTCACACACGGTTAATAGGGTCATTTTTTTAATTGCGTATAGCAAGATTTTTATTTTTATACATACATACCTTGAATCTAAATACATATTTTTAAGTTTTTAAGTTTTTAATATTTTTTTGAGTCATTCGGTTAATCGACTCAAATTGTTGGGTCCCAAAGTGAGTCCAATAAGCGGCGACTACTGTATTGGTATAATTATACATTTATACCTAATAATTATAATCACTTTACCTACCTACCAGTTGATTTAGAACTTATTTGATAGCAATACACGATGGATTAAGACATTAATATATTATGGTTATGTGATATTATTATAAAATAAGAAATAGCTTTAAATATTATATTTCAGAAACGATTATATTATTCATCGACTCGACGTATTAAATTAAAATTGTATATCGCATATATTGTTATTGTTATTTAATTATTTACAAAAATGGAACGATAATTATATTAATGAGTAATAGATATTCATGAAAATTATCCACGTTCGGTATCTCGTATAATTGTAATCTTATACAAGCTACATTGGTTGTTGGAATATTAATGAAATATAAAGAGTCTTGTATATTATATAAGCACTATTAAACTTTATACTCAGACGCGAATTGCTTATCTGTTATCTTCTGTACAGGTTTTTGTTATTTTACTGTTTTATTTCTACCATTAACTTTTATCGTATCGACAACACATTTTAGAAAATCCAATAGCTTTCGGTCATTTCAATCTAAATTATTTTTCTGTTGGCGCCGTTAGTCCGGAGATCAGCCTTATTTTTTGTGTAATGCGAGTGGAAATGGTTGTTTTCACTTAATAGAATTTTTTTTTTTTTGTTCCTTCTAGTATAGTATTTAGTAATCAATTAAAATAATTTTAAATTATCTATATGGCAACGTTTAATTGGCATTACTAATAATGGAAACTAGCATTGTAGCTTTGCAGGTCAGAATATAATAATTATTTTATATTGCATTAAACAATTATATTTTAGTTTATTCTTATTTTAACTGTTGTAACGATCTGGTGGCTTGGTACCTACTATCGTAGTGCTGACAGTAGATAAGTGGCTACCAAGATGTTATAGTTGCAGGTCGCAGACATTTTATTTGATGCTGTAGTCGTGGTCGATAATTGAATAATAAGACAGATGTTATGTATTGTGAATTTTATTATGTCGTTCGATAATTTTCTAAGTCCAAATAATATTGTACAAAGTGACGTGAAGGTGCTTGCTCTAATGGGTGGTAGTACACGTCTGAAAACAGGCCGATTCGGGCTCCCTTATATATGAGGTTCCCCGTACCCCTTGCCTACATATACGATATCTCCGTTCTCACGGATGTCACTCGTATGGTCATCATTCTAGCCCACGCATTGACGATTGAATATATAACTGATTGAATGTATTACCAATTTATGATTAGTCATTTTACTCTTCAATATTTTAATTTCATCGTATGCGTCCAGTATTTCTGTCAAATATGACGACCGCCTATTTTAACCCTATCATCCTGAGTTATTCAGTGAGCCTGTCTCCATAGGTTTGAAGGACCCATTTCCTTCTTAATGCCCGACTATGCCGGTCTACCGTCTATTATAATATTTATGCACCTGTGGAATCTGGTTTTATTGTTACTGTCAAATGTTACTACGCCTAATTCTGAATCCCGATTCATCGTATATTATAATAATAACTATGTACTTATGAAATTGGTATTACTCCGTAGTAGCTGGCTTACTACACTGTTATTATATAGTACCTATATGTATATACTAAGAATTACATAATATCGTCCTTAAGTTACTAGTTTAATATTTCAATATGGTGGTCAATGGTCATAATATTAATTAACTAAATATTATTTTCATCACTGTTTTGAAAATGCCACCTCCTTACAAAAATTCTACGTAGAATCCATCTCTATGTCACCTACGGCCTACTCCTAGTGCCTGTTATTATATTAAAGACGGACATTTACTACATTTTTCCGGTACCTATAAGTAGTTTTTATAACAGTGTAAATTGAGCAATTATTAGAATTTATTATTATTTAACGTTTTATGATTTTAATCGTTTAATTTATACAACACCGACATTTACTAAAAACCTTATAACAACCACAATGTATTTTATGCATGTACTACTGATAATTAAATATGTAATTTATTTGGATAATCCTATATATAAATCTAGACGGTTAACCTTATGTTTATGTACCTAACACACTAGACTACTAGAGGGTAGAGGCCGTTATTACGTTATTACAATGGCCTGCTAAGGTTTACGCTAACGATAAACTTACTAATGAAATATTAAAATAAAATCAAGTTTTTAAAAAGTTTAAAAAAAAAAAAACAAAGGTTTTCAAACAAATTAAAGTGCATAATTCAAGATACGATTCAATGTACTGGATGTTGCACTGATTATTAAATTAATTCCAAATTTTTTTTTATATCAAATCAAAGTTTCTAATCCGACAAAGTTCTATTTTTTTTATTGTTAAACACTCAAATGTATATAACTTTTATTATAATTTATAATTGAAAGTATAACGTTTTTTTTTTTTTAGAAAGTTGAATTAATACGTAATTTTAATTACAGCTATTAAACTATAGTAGTTATAGCATAGCACTTAAGCTACCCGATAAAGTAGGTAGGTACTAAGGTATATTTATTGTCTCCGTTTAGTATAAATTGGTGTATTTATTTTTTTTATATATAAAATATTGCAAGTAAAATTGCAAACTAGAATATTATATTAAATATTGTATTACTGTATATTGTATGAGCTAGCTAGCCTACGAACGTTTGTATAGAGAGTAGAGACTCATCTATGATTTGTATTTTTAATTTTTAACTATACTAGCCACTACTGGGTAACTATTAAATATTAATATATTATTAATTATTACAACCGTTCTACCTCTATACTCCTTTTTGTTATTTTGGTTGTCTGATATTACTAAATAATTATTGCTAAATGCTGGATACAAAATGTATATTTACTAGTTTTAAATTTAAATAGGTTTGATGGTTTGAATCATCTAGACAAGATGAACGGAAATTCGTATAAAAATAATGAAAGCTTTTTAAGCACACCATCAAACTATACTCGTCCTATATAGTATGACTACCATTGACGTGAGTAATGAGTATTTTAAGGAATATTAAATAATTATACTGATAATTAAACCTAATTTTAGTTTGATCATTACATTTAATTATAATTTTGTTTTTTTTATGTAGATTTTGAAATAAGAATTATATCAAACACAACTGCAGTTTAAAACAAAAGTTGCATTTATTAGTGAACTTCAAAATGATGTAGAGCAATTACAAATAGCCAGAGTTGAGATGTTTAAAACATTTTGTTTTAAACACTTGTTTAAAACATGTTTTAAACATCTAAATTGATCAAACATGGTTTTGTTTAAAACGTTTAAAACAAATGATTTAAACAACATAAAAAAACTGTTTAAAACTGTTTAAAACAAAAAATCATCATTTATGTGCATATAACTTATTATTTGTAAGTTCATACTGGCAACTCCTATTTATTATTTTTTATTTTATAACAAATTTAAAATTTATAAAATGTATAATGATAATTTTACTTATTTAAATTACTAACACTTCAATGGTTATATAATATATTACTTCTGTAGTTCTGTAGGTAATATATTTATTAATTATTTATTTATTTGTTTAAATTACATACCAATAAATAACATAACAATTACTAATTAGTAATTAGTAATTAGTTGTATTCCAACATAAATAAAAAAAAAAAAATAAATAAATATCAACTTGATAGGACCTTAGATCATATACTATGGATGGAGCCACTGCATATTATTTTGAAGCCGATATTAGCGACGAGTCACCGAATTAGGTGATCGATATGCGCATGCGCGAAACAACTCGTTTAATATTAATATTATAACTGTCCCCATCCCAGCCGAGTCACCGAATTAGGTGTTCGATATGCGCATGCGCAACGCAACCTCTCGCATATTTATCAGCTGGTGATTATAATATTAATATTAAACGAGTTGTTTCGCGCATGCGCATATCGATCACCTAATTCGGTGACTCGTCGCTAATATCGGCTTCAACTTTTTGTATTGCTATAATACGCAGTGGCTCCATCCATAGTATATGATCTAAGGATAGGACATAGGTAACATAATATTTAAATATTACAATTGTCTTAATAGTTAATTGCATATCTTAGGGCCGATTTCACCAACACAGTTAATCGGCCGAATTTGGCCGGTTAAATATCTGTTATCAGCCGATTAAGCGTTAACTGTGTTGGTGAAATCGGCCCTAAGTCCGTGGCGCAAACCCGCCAAAATTGAAAATAGTAAATACAGTAATCAGTATTCTTTATCACGATGTAGATAACAGATCAGTTCTTTATCATCAATCATTATCAAAATATTCAAATACGATTTTTAAGTGTAAAACCGATAGCCGTGGTTAAATTACACGTCAAGTTATAAAAAAATTATGATATTAAATTATTAAATAAATGATTTTTTTTTAAATAAATTACATATTTTGTTTTAAACTCGATTAAATCATGTTTTAAACATGTTTAAATCAGCTGAAAAAATCATTTTAAAAAAACATGTTTTAAACAAAAAAATCATGTTTTAAACGATTAAAACAATTTTTTTGATTTTTTTAAAAAAATCATGTTTTTAATCAACTCTGCTGAAATAGCTGAAGACGATAATATTAAGTTGAAATCAGAAATTTCAACAAAAGAATCAGATTTAAGGCAATGGACTGTAAAAGTAATTAATCAACCTATTAGTTATTTCTGTATTTTGACAATCTTGTAAATTTTACTCATAAAACATATTAATATAAATATAGATATAGTTATAAATACCTATCTAAACATTATTTATTTAAATTTCATTATATTTCAGTATTCCAATTTAGAGTTAAAATTATTAGACCGACAAAAAGACCATTTATTACAAATCGATTCATTGAATGAGGAACTATCAGTCTTAAAACTTGTAAAGGATGAACCAAAAGAAGATTTAATGGTGAATTTAAATGAAATTATTATAACAGAATTAAAAACTGAGTTAGATGAGAAAAAGGTATTATTAATTAATAACTATAATTGTCATATCAATGTATGATATTAAAATATATAATATAATATACCTACAATATAATATATGTATATATAAGGTTTGCTGTTGGGTAAAATTTTAAATTATTTTTTATAGGAAAAATGTGAAGAGATGCAAAATATGATAAATAATCAAGAAATTATTATTATGGAGTTAGAACATTCAAAAAGTAGAGCTATCGAAAAATTAGAAGAACTAAAAATAAAAGTTAGATTTAAAACTGATAAATTAAATGAATTAAAGCAAAAATATGAAGTAAAATGTTTACACTATCAATACTTTTATTGTACTTATTTTTTTAAGTTAATTAAACATTATAATTTACTAATTATGACTTCTGTTAGACATTGCAAGAAGAATGTGAAATGCTTAGACTGCAAGTCAATAGTATAAATAACTTAATTGATTATAATAAAAGAGGAAATTCATTGTTTGCTGAAGTTGACGATAAAAGACAAGCATTGACAGCTGAGCTGGAAATGAAAAGGGAAAAATATGAAACTTTGAAAAAATGTTTATCAAAAGCAAACCATGGAAACAATCAAATGAAGGTTTTAAAAATTATTAAATTTTCTTTTATTGATGTATTCTAGTTTATTATTCTTTAGATGGAAATGATGCGATTAGAAAAACAATTGTTAGAAATAACCGAAAGAAATGATGATTTAGAAAAATCGACTTTTATTCAAGGTTATAAAAATCGTATAAGCGTAAGATAACAATTTATAAAAAAAATTATGAATTAAGTTAATTTTTTAAACTTTTTATTTTTATAGGATTTAGAAGCCAAAACAAGAGAATTAGATAAAATACCAGACTCCACAAATATTGAAAATAGACAATTTAAGCAATGGTAGCATGAATGTTGTTCTTCAAATTGTGCCTGATGTCCGGTATGTTGTATTTTTGTATATCATAGTACGATTCGTATAAAATATTTTGATTGTTCATGAAAGTAGTATGACAATTTTTTTTAGAAAAGAGAAGAAAGCTTTGGAAGAAGAAATTAATAGAAGGTCAGTTAGAGATATGGAAGCTCGACAACAATGTTTTAAAGAAGAATGTGAAATTCGACAGCTTAAGAATGAGACAAATTGCAACTAAAAGAATTAGAACAACAAATTTCTGTATTGATATCTAAACGTAAATACATTTCTATACTATGCTCCATGAGAGACCATGCTGCGAACCGACCAAATTTGATGATTATGCGCATCCCCACACACCCTGCCTAAGGGAACCGGTTTTGACAGCCAAGTAACGTGGGATGATGCGCAGAACCAGCATGTTCTTTCGTGGAACAGACTATAATGTATAATCCTTGGATAGTTCAAGATTCTGTTACCAAAAAGTCTAAGAAATACAGAAGCACAGTTTATTTTTATAGTCATTTTAAGTTCAAATTTGGACGAAATTACATAATAAATATAATTTAATAATAATAAATATAATTTAATAATAATAAATTAAAATGTCTGTAAAAAATAAGTGTTAAAATTTTTTAGATTTTTGGTTACAGTATGAACTATTTATGAGAACCTTTGTTTTAAATTTGCAATCCTTAGCTATAAAAACTGAACATTTTATAAATTATTAATTACAATGATTGATCATTTTCGAGATTTTGATAAATTTTGTCAAAATTCGATCATTAAATGCTTATATAAAAAAATTGTGTCTATGTATTTTTAATATTTTTCAATTGCTATTGTAACAGTATATCAGGAGCCTTGTATTAAATTTTTACACTTTTTGGCCCAACAGATAAAACTATTGATATTTATAGAAAAAAAAACTAAAAAAATTGAAAACTGAAAATGTCCGTAAACAGCTCAAAAATTTTCAAAATTGTATAGTGTATAGGAAATGCTAATATGAACATTCAGTAAAATGTTCATGTATCTACAGTTATTTGTTTTTGAATTACAACAAAATAAGGAAATCACTACATGAGAAATCGAGTGAATTTCAAACGCTCATAAAAATTTAATTTGACTTTCCGGTAGAGATTTTTTTATTGATAAAGGTAGATAAACTTATGACTTATGAGTAATCTTGTATAATATTTCAAATCTTAGATTTAAAAAGAAAAATATTTACGAATTTTTAACTCAAAATAATTTGCTAATTTTCCATATTTTGTCAATTTTTGAACTTGAAATGCTTATAAAAAAAATTGTGACTAAGGATTTTTAATATTTTTCATCTGCCTTTGAAACATTATACTAGGAGCCTTCTATTAAATTTTCAAGCTTTCGCAACTAACAAATAAAATTTTATTGATATTTTTAGAAAAAAAACTAAAAAAAAATGGAAAATGAAAATGTCCCGAAACAGTTCAAAGTAAATCAAAATATTTTGAAAATGTTATTGTGTTTAGAAAATGCAAATATAAACAACCAGTGAAAATTTCATGTATATACGTTAATTTGTTTTAGAGTTACACCAAAATCCAAAATCGATTTTTTGGAAAACAGATTTTGCGCAAAAATTCCCGTTATTCCTTAATTTTTATGTGTTTAATCCCGGCGCTTATGAACACTATTGGAAATTTTAAAATTTGACCTCCCGAATGCACCAACAAGATTCCATTTCCAATCGAACAAGATACTGAAATTGAAAATCGAAGCCTTATTTCGACTACTTATCGTGTACACAGACACAAAAATAAATAAAAAATAAAAAAAAAACACACATCATTGTAAAATCAATACATTCATCGTTCCACTCAGAATCTAAAAATATTAAATACTTACATTTTATTACAAAAAAAAAAAAAGAAATACAGTATAATTTTGTAAGATTTGTTAATAATTTTATGAAAGAAATGAATAATTTATTTTGAGGGGGCTATTACAAGTTGGCTATTCCTAGTTGCGCTTATGGGTATATCACACATATAACACTTTTTTTTTTCAAATAGTGAAGAGGGCGTCATAATACCCTACAAAAATACGGGATGTAAGCAAGGTTTTGTACTTCCAATAACCCAGGTTACTGAAATATTTTATAGTATAACCACTGATAGATGAAGATAATTTTATCTAGAATCATAAGAAGCCTGATTTTTTATATTATACATTAATATTATATAAATAGATTGATATTTGAATAATTATCAATTTTATTAAGTAGATAATGAATCAATTAAATAGATCTGATAATAAATAAAAAAGTTTTTATACTTAAAATTCTACCAAATCAATACTTGTACATTTATATAATATAAAAATTGTAATATCAACAATACTTAGTATATTCGAATCAATTTAAATAATTAATTGATCTGGAAATCAAACTATCATTGGCGATTTTCTTCGTTTTCTTATATTTCCAAATATTTTACTCGAGTTCATAAAAAACATTTTTAAGTTAAAATGATTTGTTTTTCCTAAAACATTTAAATAAATTCCTAACACAATAAGTGATCCAGCCCAAACATATCTAAAAAAAAAATAATATTATTATTAATAACATTAATTAGTAAGTACCAAAGTATAAGTTAGTATTAGTAAGTTACAGTTTTTATTATTTTCAAATATGAAATTTTCTTACTGAAAAGTAAATGGCTTTGAAAACAATAAAAATGATATCACTATTGTTACAGCTTTCCGACACGTAGTCACAGTCACAGCAACTAAAGCCCCACAAGTTCTAATTAAAGCAAGTACAGCTTGAACTCCAAAAAATCCAGAGAGTGAAAAGAAAAATATGTATATATAAGTCACTGGATTCTACTAATAGAAAAAAATTAAAACAATATATATAATTTTAAATTAATTTCTATATTTCAACCTGAATGCAGAATTCTGTCCCATCTCTTAGCTGTCCACTCACCAACAATATAAAGAACAAATATACAAATCCTATTAAATAGGAATATAAAACAATTTCTGCATTGGATGCATTATGTTTTTTCATCATTTTTTCTTGAAAATTACCTATAAGTGCATCACAAAATAACGCAGAACTTATCAAAATTATACCTAAAATATAGTATAATTTGTTATATTAATATTTACAAAATACCTAGTATAAAATATTACTATAAAATAAGAATACAATTTACCTATAAGATTGAAATCTGGTGAAACTTTATTGTCAGCTAAAGTAAATAATATCAATCCTGCACACATACATGATGCTGCTACTATATCAATAACTTTATATACTTTTTGCTGTACTAATATTCCACCAATCATAACTGGTATCAGTTTACAACACTTAAATATAACTTGTGTCGGGTAATTTAAGTAACCAAGTGAGGCATTTGAAAACCCCATTGAACCTAATAATATCAGTCCCAATAAAAGATACAAGACCAGTGGTATCCTGAAAATAATTATCATAAACTAAAAAATAATAATTAATATTATATTCAGAAATATTATGAATACAAATAAGACATGCAACTAATTTTGGTTTTCAAAAATAATATAATATAATATAAAGTTTATTAAATTAATTTTAATGTACCTACATACTAATTATTATGTACATTTTTTGTAATCATTTAATTAAAATTAAATTGGATCGAAGCGTTAACACCTTTCATAATTTCATATTATCCACAATCTATCTATATAAAAAAAAGAACAAAAAATGTTTGACTACATGCAGTGTCCTTTATGCATTCCTGTTCATCCGATTGCAATGAAATTTGGTACAGAGATAGATTAGATCTGGTGAAAGGAGATAGTCTACATTTTGTCACGAGAGAAGGTAAATAAGAGGTCCAACCTAAGTAGGAATTCCTACCTGATAATACATTGCTCGCATCACAAAAACCTAGCAAATAGCAACACACGGCCGTGTTAGCTAGTATCTTAATAAAGATTATGACTAACTGAACAATATATAATAAATAAATTATGAATAAATGGAAATAAGAAAAACTTGGGTTTTCTATAACATTAGGTTTACGTAAATAGGAAGAAACTTTAGTTTTTCATGTTTTGTTCAGTAATATAAGTTTTTATGTAGGTTTAGGTATTCAAATCTTATACATTTTGTATCTAATTACCTTCGTTGTGTACGATTGAATTGACTTTCTATTAATCCAAATATTGAATAATTAAGAAACTGCACCAAAGTCAAGTACCATCCAAATGGCTTAAAACCTTTAATTGCAAATATTGCTTCCTAAAAATAAAATATTTAAATATAATATGGACATACTAAATAAAATTATAAAATACAATTTACTTGTAGGTATCCATACGGAATAAAAAAAATGAACACCACAAATGAACAAATTAAAAATTGCCATAATTCAGAAAAATGACCGATATCAACCCATAGAAGTTTTCTCGATGGTTCTTCTTTTTTATTAGATAATAAATCTGCATTACCAGAATCGTTAATGTAAATTTTGGCTTCCATTCAATTACACTTATGTCGGGCGTTTATATCTAGGACAAGTACATTATTAATATTAAATATTTTTTCATAAACAATAAATTGTTAGGTATAGAAGCTAATAATAATTACTCTAATTAATAATTTAAATTATATTCATTAATCAATAGATAGGTAGGACTTCAAACAAAAAATACTTAATCAGACATTACATAAATAAATATAACAATTTATTTGTTTAATTTCTAGTATATGGATTTTAAATGACATTTGTGTTTACAATTATAAAAACAAATACAAATTAAGAAATATACTATCTCCGGCCCACGAGAGAGTATTACCGTCGCCCGACGAAAACTCGTCCGATTCCGCGCATTCCCCACTACTCGGCATGTGCCGACAACTGTTCGGTATCGGTCGGCAGCGCTCAACGCTATACGGTGTATAGCGGTCGCGGAAATAGTAGGGGAAATGGGGCCTCGGAACGGTCTCCGCCGTCAGTCTGCATGCGCAAAACGGTAATACTCTCTCGTGGGCCGGAGTATATATTGTTTAACTAACAAGTATTAAGTAGTAATAATTAATATCCATGACAAAATAATAAATTTACGAATTACTAATTAATATATTATTTTGTCATGTTAATTCAGTTATTTGTTGTTTGTTATTTTGTTAATGCCAAATGCAAATTGCCAGATAACAGTATAACACTCGTCAGATACTCAGAATCCGGTGGCGACGTCTGGCTGGCAGTTTTTTTAAATATATATATATATATATATATATATATGCTTGATACCAATTGATTTCATGGAAGATGTGGTTGTGGTCATGAACTACTACACAGGACTGGACACTACAGAGAAAATCACGGACACAAAGTTGTACAAGGTTCGTACACATGCGATGTAACTGCACTCTGCCTGTTAGTAGTACGAACTACGTTTTTTATAGGATAACACTAAAGAATAGTGATATTAGTGATAATAAATAATAATAAATAGTAAAATATGCCGTGGTGCTAATGCTAAATAGTAAGTTTAATAATGATTTAATAGCTGTCAGTTTTTGACGTTTCTGTAGGTATATAAAAAAAATATTATGTACATTTGTTACGTTTATCTTATGTTTTTACCAACTTTGACAATTTCTTCTTTTTGCAGCTTACTTTGATCTGTTTTTGATTTGTCATTTGTGAATATTGTCTCATTCTCATGGTTAAGTAGTAAGTAATAATATATGTCAATATTTCACTTTTGTGGGACTACTAAGCATGAACTACTAAGGCGGTATTTTATATAACAAAATATTTCTTATCTCACAGATGGCGCTGTGTCGCATGTGTACCGAATATGTACAACTTTGTGGACGACCTCCTACTCTCCTCCTGCCAATAGTGTCCAGTCCTGTGTAGTAGTTCATGGTTGTGGTATCACCTCTATCACTATGCTATCACCACTCACCATATACCTATTAGAATTCTATTATGTCTATTGTCTATGCTCGGCTCCGGACCAAATTGTCTCACAGATATATAAAAATATTTACCATTGTCAACACTGATATTATTATTATTATCATTTCTCCATTTAAGTTAACTACAGGCCGGGTAGCGATCATGACTGTCAGACTGTTTAGTGTTTATACTTCATTTTATTTTGTCGTGGTAGTTACTAATTAGTATTTTAAAATTTGTTGTTATAATACCACTAATTATTGTAATATTAAGATGTCTTAATTCGTGAATAATACTTAATATCTTGAAGTAAAAGATCTATTTTGTTATGCTTAGTACTCAGTAGCCAGTACTCGGTCATTATATGTAAAATACAATTTTTTTGAAGTTTTGAATATTAATAACTTGGAGTTGAACAATAAATTATACTGTTTAGTTTTTTAATATATTTTCATAGTAAGTACCTATAATTTTAAATCCAAATAATAATTCAGATTATTTATTATTTTGTTTTAAGGTGTGTATAAATTATACCATATCAATTTTATCTTCATAAAACCTTTACCTTACAATTCAGAAGCCAAGCAATACAGTTTATCATGATGTCTGTTAGTAAATTTCGTGAAGAATTGAAGGTAACTTCATTTTTATCAGAAACTAACTTCATAAATACTTAGTGCTGTATTTTTATGTTTTAGAATATTCTTATAGAACCAAATACTACAACCATTACTTCTATTAAAAAAATTGTACATGAAAACAATTATTTCAATCTTAGGTAAATTAATTATATAATATAATATAATATTATAATATAGAATAAATTAAATAATGTTTATTATAATTTATAATCATTGCAATGAAAAAAATTTATTTTTTTCAAATGTAACATAATAATTTAGGATATTTACAAAAATGTTTTCATTGTTTAATTAGTGATGCTGATAGACGTTCAATATTAGATCAAGTATTAAGATGCCATGTTTTAGACATAGTATTATCAAAACCACCAAATTTATATGATGTTTGTAAGATGTGGACATCATTTACAATTGAACTTGTACGGAATGAAATGTGTACTGCTATAATGCCAGTAGTTATATTGTCAGATATGTTTGATGTGACTACTATGGATGTTTGTGAAAAAATGTTTGATCATGTGGAATCTAATGTAAATGTTCTTAAAGAGCCTCAATTTTTTATGGCATGCAAGAACAATTTATTACGAATGTGCAATGGTGATATTTAATTTTTAATTTTTTTTAGTACATTGTAAACAATTATTCAGAAATGCCTATTTAGAAAATATAACTTATTTTCAACAGAGCTGCTTATTTAAATAAATTGTTAGGGGGGCATATTTGGTTAGGGGAAAAAAGTGTTTTGTTATCAAATTTAAATAAAAATATTAACTTTACTGTATTAATATACACAATATACAATAATTACAGGGAAAAGTTTGTAATATTAAAATATTCTTAGTCAGAAAACAGGACATTTTTAAATAATAAGTAACATGTATCAATAAATTTATGATTTATGAATGTACCATTTTATTAAAAAAATCAGTCTGCTAAAATATTGAATAATAGTGCCAAATAATTTTGATAAATAATCAAATATTGAAATATTTAATACCCCATTTAGTGTTTTTAATTTTTAAATATCTAAAATGCTAAATGTATGACTAGTGTATAGGTACTAATATTATTCACACAATTTGAAGTATCTAATAATCATTTAAATATTAAGTAAGAGTAAATAAAGCATCAAATAGCCATAATAATTTATAATATATTATCATACATGTTTATTATTATGTAATAATTTTTAGCTGAAAACTAATTTAGCATAAATATTTTACCTTATCAGTTAGATCCCCCTCCCTAATCGGTATCTATTTTTATTTTTTAAAGATTCCCTGTCATTGTCATCAAAACTTATTGATATCTTTAATTATAATTGAAAATAATTGAATTAATACAGAAAAACAGTAATTAACAGTGGCGTGTATCATAAAAAAAATTGGTGTTGCTCAAATAATTTTAGGTGACCTACCCCTCATAATACTGTTATACCGACCTATAAAATTTCCTATTTTTTTTCTATCAATACCCACCCACCCATATTTAAGGTGTTGCCTGAGCAACACTTGGACCCCATGTTACACGCCACTGGTAATTAAATACATTTTTTTGTACCTCCTCTCCTCCTTGCATTAATCCTTATATTTTATATTTCTATTATAAAAATATTTCACAAATACTAATAATAATATTGCTATTTTATTTTAGATCTTTTACGTCGTTTATCTAGATCACGAAATACAGTCTTTTGTGGGCGTATTTTATTATTTTTGGCCAAATTTTTTCCATTCTCTGAACGCTCAGGTAACACAATTTTTAGTTATTAAACTCATTATAATTATTAATTTTTTTTTTTTTTTGGAATATTATAGGTCTAAACATTGTAAGTGAATTTAATTTAGAGAATGTAACAGAATATTTGAATGAAAATCATTTTGATCAAACTGAATGTATGCCAGATTCAACTCCCGAAGATGAAGCAAAATCAGATATTATAATTGAAAAGTATGATTTTTTGGAACAAATGCACTTTACCACCCCATGCAAATTTTTCGATTTTTTTTTTTTGGAACTTATGTAGCTCATCGAGTTAAGAACGATGGTGCAATCATAATTTGTCGCTCTCACTTAGTTTCGAAGTTATGGCCTTCCAAAGTTTTCAATTTTACGTCTACGCATGCGCGCAACACTACTCTATAATGCCGCACGGAGGGCTATTTTTGTTATTTTTTTGTACTTACATATTCTAACCTATTTAAAACGATAGTGCAATAATAATTTATCCCCCGATTTGCTATGCAACACCTCCCAAAGTGGGTCACAGGGTTAAGAAAATTGCATTTTTGTTGTACTGAGTCATTTACTCAGATAATTAAAAACGAAAATATCCCCCGATTTGCTATGCAACACCTCCCCAAGTGGGTCACAGGGTTAAAGAAATTGCATTTTTCAAAATGAAAATTGCATTTTCACAATTAAAAATATTCCTCTCCTGGAAGTAGAAATAGTCAATCTGGTTTAAATAAATTCTCGCATTATACCTATATATACCCATATATACACAATTAAAATGTCATTACGTCAAGTGCTGCGTTCTAGTGAAGTTGACTTCTCTTAGTCCCGTGTTTGTTCACTCGTTTATTTTTATTTAGTAGTCTCACGAATAAAAAAAAAAAATCGCGAAAGGCGTGACACGTAGCGTTGCGCTCATGCGTAAAAAAACTCAAAAATGCTTACTTCCAAGGGCCATAACTTCGAAACTAAGTGAGAGCGACAAATTCTGATTGCACCATCGTTCTTAACTCGATGAGTTACATAAGTTCCAAAAAAAATATGCATGGGGTGGTAAAGTGCACTTTAGCCGATTTTTTAGCTATATCCTTACTTAAATACATTAATGTATAGTAATATTTAGGTATTTTATAACTATATACTCTATTCAGAATAAGAATTCCCACTTTCACTCATGCAACTGAGTCGGC